TGAGCAGGGTGAAGGAGGATTGTTTAATCTTCGAACACCCTAGATTGATAATTGTTTCCTTCGGAAACAATTATTTTTTAAATCTAAATAACTGCCAAGTACCTACCTACATAGATTTCTATTATAATTTATCAAACTTAGTAACTAAGCTGTATTTGGATCTAAAACAAATATGAAATTTGGATCAGACTAAAGATGCAACCTACTTCATTGTAATCTTGGTTCAAAAGATGAAATGGTGTTAGGTACATTAGAAATGCTGAGAAAACCACTAGGGGAACATTCTGAGCTTCCAATTGGTTATTCAAGTTATATATAGAAGTAAGTGTATATAAGGGAGCATTAGTTACTAAGCTTGATAAATTATAGTGGAATTCTACAGTATCAATATAGTAATTTATGATTTTTTGGTTATTCAACTGTATATATATAAAACGTAAAAAAATAATTTTGTTTCATATCCTCCATGTGCAAAATTTTCAAAGCTTAGCAACCTACATCAAGCAGCAACTGAGTATAACTGTCTTAACTAGAAGAGATAATTGTTTGCCTTTACTTCTTTATTTACTGTTCTATGTTTTCAGAAAAATATGTTTAAGAACTTATTTCTAAAGAGCAATAATCTATGTACATGTATCATGTATAATAATTGAAATGTATTTTACAAAATACTTGTCTACTAAAACACAGCCAAGACAGTTCATTTTGTGAAGACTAAAGGTCAGTTTTATATCATTGGATACAGTAACATGAGAGCATGTGTGCCACGTCATTGCAACTTCTGTATTGTTAACCAGGCACGGCTGAAAGGTCAATACAATAAAAATAATAGATATATATATATATATATATATATATATAAATCTATAATGTTATGAGATTTAAGCTATTTAGTCTAAACATTTATGTTTCAGTATTATAATTTGTTGTCATTTTATATTTATTTCCTAATTGTTTATGGTGGTTACGAGATTGGTCAAATCTACCGAACCTGCACAGAGATTAATTACTGAAGATAACAGACAAAATCCAAAGTTTTTTCTTAAGAAACATTTGATAACTATCTGGACATTATAAAGATTTTGCATGTAAAATTTGAAAATCTTCTGATGCATAAAAATATCTTTAATCTTAAAATGAAAATTACTTTGCCTGATGGATAGGCAACATGCGAAAAGAAAAAAAAGGCATGAGAAAAGCATTGCTTTACAAACCTTAAGATTTAATAAAAAAATTTGATATTTTGCATATGAAAGCATAGTAATGTTTACTGATAATCTACCAAATTTCATTAACATACAATTGCTAATTTAAAATTTATAGCATGAAAACTATAACAAGCACAAAATGGTTACAAGGTCGGTCCCAGGGACTGAGCCCATGCTGAAAGAGTTATGTAGATGTAGTTTCTGTCATGTGTTCAAAATATATTATTCTACAAGCTTAAAATATACCTTAGCCCTAGTTGGTAGACCCCATGGTGTGAGAGTATACTGCCATTGAGGTAGTCCTAAATGAACAAGAGACAGTCGAAGGTAAGATGTCATTGTTGAAGCCAGATAATGCCATTCTAGAGCCCTATCCAAAAACCATACAGTTGGAACAGTTGTAGAGATGGGTTCAATAGTATCTGAAAGAACCAAGAGTATAGCAAGTAAAACTGAAGGGAAGATGTGCACAAAGTTTGGTTTACAAGAAAGAAGTAACTGTAATGTATAATTTACGAATATTATGATTCAAAAAAATGTTTTAACACACAAATGCTACTCTGTTTTTTTTTGAGTAATTTATATTAAGTTTTTTTAAGAGAATGGTTAACAATACATCATGTTTATCTGTCAAACTAATACTTCTTCTAATGTCTCCAACTATGCTACAAGTATGGAGATTTTCTGTGCTATTATGTTTAGAATATTTATTTATTTTCTTGCATAAGAAACAAAATTCAACAATTTTCCTAAAACAACTTTTACATATCTAAGTGAGGAGCAAAATGATAATGTGTTAGATATTCCGAATGAAAAAATAACAAGTGAATTTCAACAAATGAAAAGGTAGCCAAGAAACAAAATAGTTAATGGATATGGTTTGGTACTTCATAAATATTTTTGTTTATTCTATATAGGTAAATAGTAAAAACACAACGATGTATGAAAGGCGCAAAACTTATTTGTATTTAATTGCAAAAACCAGAACAGTTGTGTTTTTGTGAATTATCGTTAGAGAAATCTTTCATGAGATATTTAAGGACATGCAAATATACTTCATATGTTGTTAAGTTTGTTTTCCTTTAAATAAAAAAAGGATAAATCAAATTCTGATCATTTGTTTAGTCACAGTGCACACTAATATATGTTTGATGAAATGCTTGTATGTGTATGTAGATATATTACCAACCTTCCTTTACTGGGTAAACCAAACAAACTTTACCATTTCCTTGACAAGAGTCTAGAAGAAATACTTTACACTTGTTGCTATATTTGGGTTTTGTTGCCTGTTCTCCAAGCAAGTTTCTTTCTACAAAGGAAAATAAATAATCCTCAATAATTTTGAAAACATCTACAATGCAACCAAAATGAACATACAAAAACACTTTATATGAAAAAAAATTACTGCTCTAATTTTCTGTACATTTTTCAATATCACAACAAAAATAAACTGATTATATTTATATTGCATTGGAAATTGGAAATATTAAATTTAGTACTTTGGTTTTAATTTATTTGCCATCATCTTAAATTACATATGTTCCAAAGCATTTATGTAACAGTGGTATGCATCCCATACATGGAAATCATATTAGTATCCATTCTAATCATGAATAATATCACAACTTAAATATACACTGTTATTACCAAAACAATTAGAACAGTCACCCACAGCTAGTAATGGACTTGCATGTGAATCCCATGCTGCTCTGACATGTAGTGTTACATAGCCATACAATACAGCCAGTTAGAGTAGAAATATCTTAAAACAAAAAATTCTGGTTCTTCAAAGATGAATAATTAATGACCAGATGCACCTTGTTATTATGAATATGTGGGCATTTCAGCCACACCCATTCATATCCTACTCATACTGTAAGTAAAGTGCTGAAGAAATGAATGACCGTCAGGAATATAAGCTAATATGGAATACTGTGTCTGTCACATAAAAAGAAACTACTCATCTGGCATCTAGTGACAGTTCAGATCTTCAGTTCGATGAGAGAAATTGGATTTTAATGAACAGCTACAGCCTATTATCCACTAGTTAAGGGCACTAATGCATCAACTTCCATGGTGTCTTGAAAATTAAATTACAACAGATAACAATCAAATGGGATGATAAGTTCTGCTACTCACTGTTTGTCTTAGGTGTGCAGATCTGGGTTTAATAGAAATAAAGAGAATGATTTGAATATGAATTCCAACTATAAGGCAGTAATATAATGGTGTTGGTCAGTTTCAGCTGGTTTAGAATTTGGCCATTGATTTGCAGTTAACCATAGAATGCCAGCATTAAATTTTCAATCATTAACACCAAGTGGTATTGGGTCATAATAACCCCATGCTGACATTCTAGGGTTAAAGGAGCTATGAATACCTTTTAAAACTGTGGCATTATGGGTAATGCTGCACCTGGTGCATCAAAACAATCCTATGGAGAAAGATCATATATCTTTTTCGGCACGATACCATATTGTATGTCATATCTAGCAGTGGTTTCAAACAAATAACAACCATATTATGATTTGTTTGCATAAGAACCATTTTACATGTTTTGAAGCACACCTAATAAACAGAAATGAGAGCACTTAAAATCTCACAATGTCTGAAATTGCTTTGCCAGAGTAGCAGCAGCCAATTCCCCTAGGTTAGTGACACAATTTAGGTTGTAATCAATGATCAAAATGGAATTTAGAGGAAAAAAAAACACCCTCCCTTTTTCTCAAAGTGCACTGATCCAATATTACTTGAGATGTAGTATATGTTCTAAAACTGCATAACATAACAGTTTGGAAAGTAAATTCATAAAATTTGACAAAAAATATCAAAACAGCACTTATTCTGTTTGGAATCCAATGCTTTTATTTGGATTTATTGGCTATTAAAATATGGAGATAATTATGAAGTCATATCAATAGATACAATTAAAAAATGTTGGAGGTATTGCAGAACTGTACTGGTCATTACAAACAGTCACACTCAGTGTCCTTTGGTTTTTTCATTTTTAAATCAATACTGACTTCAAAAACATCAGATAGGGCTTACTTTAAGAAATAAAAGGTATTAATTGAAATATGTTACATCAGTGTTAACTCTTCACTATTTTCATACTAAATCCCAAATATCTTGAGCCTAACTTTTCTTGAAGTCTTTTGAATTTCACAGCTATGCTGACTTAAAAAAAAAAGGCATCTAGAAAACAGGTAAATCTGCATGCTTACAATCCTGAAAAATAATTTTCCACCATACATACCTTGGAAAACATAAAATAAATGAGAGTTTTATTTATGTCTATGAAGTCCATAATGTGATCATTGTTTCCTAACTTACCAGATGAGGTACTTGATTCTGAGTCACTTTCAATATCAGTCAGTGTTGGAAGTCCAGAATGCATGCTAGCCATTTTGGGTGTCACACGTCTTAATTTTCCCATGGAATTAATTTCTATCATCCCCACTGGCACAGCTTCTTCTGTTAAAAATCAAGAATTAAAAAAATGATTGTGTGTTTACCATATTTTGACGTAGAGTTTATCTGTATTTGCCACTTTCTTAAGAAAAGTTAAAGAATTAAAAAAAAGCCCCTATTTACTTGCACTCAAAAACAATAAGTTTACTCTATAAGCATTCATAAAACACAGAAGAAAATGTTTTAAATTATTAAACTCAGCTCATTAAAAGTTTGTCCATAATAATACATTTAATTAAATATGACTATCAGTACATGATTTAAATAACCAAGAAACATATACTTTTAATACTGAGTTTATTATAAACATGTACAGATTCAAGAATAACATACTCAAGTCAGTCTACAAATATTACATTTTAAAATTTATAAGAATTTAAAGAATCGCTAAAATTATTTTTAAGAACAGTAATACTATTCAAATTATTAAGTTCCCTCTTGAAATAGAGAGTGTATTATTTACTTATAAAATCAAAAATAACCCACAGTAACAGGTAATAAACCAATTGCATTTTTTCATTAAATATACCTTTGAGTTTCATGCTCCATCTGATTTGCATACCATCAGTAGCCAAATAAAAAGCCTTAACATCAATGGGGAGAATACAGGCATTCCTCTAAGTGACAGAACAATAACAAAAACATGATGTCACAGTACACTATGCTTTCACTCACATAATATTGAAAAGATCATTTGGTTGGTTGATATATAGTGTGAAAACACACATCTTAATCCAAAAGAAAACATGTATTATCTATTTTGTTTCATAATTTGATTTCGAGTATTAAATCTTAAGATATGAATATGAACTGGGAGTTGCAAACTGTTACATAACTGATAGAAAAAAAGGATTTTCTTTATCATGTTATCTATATGTCAATAAGTGCTACATCATTTACAAATTGGTTGTTTAGCTGAGTTTTTTGTTTATTTACGTACCAAAATCTTCTATGTTAAATTTGTTAAAAGCTTCATTGAGAGGTTTAATAATATAAAATATATCTTCAAAAACTTAATTACAGATGCAATTCCAAGTTATTCAGACCATATAAAGGAATACATGAAAAATATTTTTTATAACTGGATAAGAAAAACTAAGGTTTGAAGCTTTATAGAAGCAACAATAAAATTAGTTTTGATAAATCTTCAGTTTATATTTGGTATCATCTTCTACAATACATAGCTTTTCCATTGCTAATAAAAGTGAAATGTTATATGTATAAAAACTTGGAAGAACAATTTTTCTATCTTCACTTCCCTATTATACTGTCAGTGGCACCTAGTGAAATAATACGTACGACATTTACCTGTTCCCATGAAGTTATTGTTACTTTATCAACTGGCTCTTTTTCCACTACTGTTACATTACAGATACAAGGTAATTTTTCTGAAAAAGAAATAAATATATTCATTATAATTCAAAAACAGGAAGTAAATCAGAATCTTTTTTTTATAAAGTTCTTAAGTTAGTATGTTTAAATAATGACTTGATTGTCACCAGGTAGGTTTTCTAAATTTGTGCAATGGTCTATCTGGTGATGTTGTATGCATGCTTTTACTTTGATTACTTTCTAAATTTTGCTAAACATATAGCATTGTAAGTCTATATGGATGTGAAAATTTACATTTAATTATAATTTTATATTTTGATTGTTTCTAATAGAAAAATGTCTTATTTATGGTTATCATACTTTTTTATACTCTAATATCTTCCAATTAGGAGAGCTTATATAATGTAAAATACCTCCTATAGATGTTGTATTTTTTATGCATGGTTATCAGGGTTAGTATATATACAAACGAGGCTTGGGGAGACTTAGACTCCCCAAATAAACCATCCCTCAAGGAGCATTATTCTCATAAACTCAAAAATATTATACACTCTATGTAGAAAGAGAGACAGACAGAGATCAAAAGAGGGTTTATGTGGGTCACAGAGGAGAGTTTACTTCTTTAGATACAAATACTGTTTCTTTTCAACTGTGCAACGTCCCACATGTCAACAGAATAGCCTACCTAAACTAAAGAATTACTCCTCATCTATGATAGTTATGCATAAATATCAATCTGAAGTCTAGAAAGAAACTAAGTACCCTGCAAGTTAAAAAAGGCACATTTTAGAACGAGCTTATACATGATGTCACTTAATTAGATAGTACAAATGAAGTAAATATAAGATGTTAAGTATTAAGTATAAAAACAAGTGGTATAAGTGGTTGAGTTAATTTCACTTATTACTTCCATGGTGTGTTCATACAAGACTAAATCTGTTAAATGAAATAAAGTAATTAAATTAATTATTTATGCTTAGGCACAGCCTATTTGAGGCTAAATATAATTATGCAATTGTTATAATGACATGTTAGTTGTTACAACACATTATTAATGTTTAATTATGCTTCAGCCTAAAGATAATTTCGTCCAATCACTATAGACAAGTTTTTAAAATTAAAATAAATTAACATAATACAATTAATATAAAGTACTATCAACATCAATGTATCATCACAAAAATCGAATAACAGTAATACTCTTAAGCTGTGATTAAACAAACCTGGCAAGTTTTCAGTAATGTACATTAGGCTTAAGCAAATTTACCTAAATATTTAACAAATCCCAAAGTTAACGAATCAATTTCAGAATTCATCAGTAACAAATTCACATGACATTCACAAAGAGCATTTAACAAGAAACTATATAAAAAACATCAGCCCAGGTAATGTTGTTTTAAAAACAAGAAAAGAATCTGTATATCTTCAAGTGGCACATATAATATAACAGCTACTTTTAACTATCAGCTAAAAGTCGTTTTCTAATACGTTATTCAAGCATACTACAGTTGCTAAGCGACTTGCGTGTTGTATGTCAAGATTCCTCTTGAAACTAGATAGTACATAATTTTGCATTTGTGGTAAACAATATGGAAACGGAACTATATTACTTTTGTTTAGGAAACAATTTAAAAAAAATGAACTTGAAGTATTTGTAATCATAAAAATGAGCGATATTAATTTTGGAATTGGATTTTTGTATAACAAATATTGATAAACATTTAAAATTACAAAATCTTTTCCATGCTAATATGAAAGTTACAAGGGACTAAAGAAATATTAAAATATTGAACTTGTGCCTGTTTTCTGACATTTTTATTATATTTCAATTATTTTCTTTATGGAATGGCTTTAATTTATAAACTATTTGTAACTGTTGTAAGCTATATTTTTAATATTTTAATTGAGATATGAGCTTGTGATGTTAAGATTTAGTTTTGTTAGTTTTCAATTT